AAAAAAAAAAAACCCCAGCGGGTTATACTAAGAAAACAAACACCTAAATAAACAGATCGATGAAATAAGACTTTTGAAAACCGTGGCTCGAATTGGAAATCGTATAGCAATAACAATTTAATAAAAAAACCATCTTTTTAAAAATTCATTGAATATTTTTGCCAAGACAATATTGTATTGTATCGGCTGCCTTTCGTGTCAGGCTAGAATTTTGTAGTAAATACATGWTAATTCAAGTTTTTTGTACTTCCCCTATGGCAGTCTCCTAAAATTGAAGATTTAGCTTCCACGTCCGACAGAAGTTGACAGTTTTAAGTAACATTTGGTCATAAATCACCTTATTTGTATAAGTGATACCTTACAAACTGCAAATCTGTATCTATCTGTCAAGAGAGGCTATTTAGATCCACGAAATGGGTTTTTCAGTAAAAGGTACTAGGCGTGATAAGGAATAATGAAAACATAGCTAATTGAGAGAAACCAGAGCCCAACACATTTGACGCGAAAAACAAAAAAAAAAGGAAAAAAAAAAAACGAAAGAAACGATAGGAAAGGAAATAGGAAAGGAAGAAAGATGAGAGGAGAATAGAGGAGACGAGATGGGAAGAGAGAAGACGAAAAGAAACTAGAGGAGAAGAGAGGCGACGAGAAGAAACGAGAGGTGACGAAAGAGAGGAGACGACGAAAGGAGAGGAGAGGAGAGGAGAGGAGAGGTCTAAGTGTTTTCCTATTTAACATCACCAATTCTGTTTTCTTTTATTTTCTGTAGGTATTTTGCCATCACATCAGCTATCCGCTACAACGAACTAATCACGATACGTGTTTGTATAATCGGTACCGTCATAATATGGACCATTTCTATCTTTTACCCGTTCATTCGGTTTGTTACCACAGATCCTTTTGAACTTCCAATGATATGGCTTCTAGTTTGTATTGTATCTGTTGGAATCCCTTTCTCTATCATAGCTTATTGCTACTTCCACATTTTCAAAGCAGCTAGAAATCAAAATATCAAGATAGCGGCACAAAACCAGGTACGAAAAGATGCTACTAACGTTGCTAAGCAATACAAAGCTGCACGCACCGTTGCTATAGTGATAGGAGTCGTTCTGTTATTTTGGTTTCCCGGGGTTGTGATTACGTTGATACAAGTGATGGCTGATGATTGTATGAAGACGAAGATCATGAAAGTGTGGTTTTGGGGGATATTATGCGCGATGATCAACAGTTCTGTAAATCCCTGGTTATACGCTGCAAGGATGAAGAATATTAGAAAAGCCATGAAGAAAATAGTCATGCCAAATAGAAGGAGCAGCCTGGCAACAATATCCCATAGCTTTTCAGTGAAGGAGCAGAAGACAACATGACTCAATATATAAGTTTGCCATTCGGATGCGAGGACACAAATATCATTGATAAACAAACCATCGAAGAAAATAGTCATACTAAGTGGATGGATTGGCATAACACCGGTATCCCATAGATTATCAAAGAAAGAAAAAAATGGCCACAAAAATCAATGTACGAGATAGCTATTCGAATGAGAGAAAAAAGAAAATAAAAAGAAAGAAAGAAAGAAAGGAAGGAAGGAAGAAAGAAAGGAAGGAAGGAAGAAAGAA